TTCGAGAATCTGGTGAATGAGGCAGATGACCACCCCAGGGCGCGCATGGGGGGGCAGAGGTGGATGGGGGGGGGGCAGGTAGGGAGGAGAGGATGGACAGTGGCGCGTAGGTGGTGGTGGTGGACAGGTAGGGTGGTGGTGTGTGTGTGTGTGTGTGTGTGTGTGTGTGTGTGTGTGTGGGTGGTGGTGGTGGTGGTGGTGGTGGTGGTGGTGGTGGTGGTGGTGGTGCGGTGGCGGTGGTGGTGGGGGTGGTGGTGGTGGGTGGTGGTGGTGGTGTGTGTGTGTGTGGTGTGTGTGTGTGCGTGTGTGCGTGTGTGTGTGTGCGTGTGCGTGTGCGTGTGTGTGTGGTGTGTGTGTGTGTGTGTGTGTGTGTGTGTGTGTGTGTGTGTGTTGTGGTGTGTGTGTGTGTGTGTGTGTGTGTGTGTGTGTGTGTGTGTGTGTGTGTGTGTGTGTGTGTGTGTGTGTGTGTGTGTGTGTGTGTGTGTGTGTGTGTGTGTGTGTGTGTGTGTGTGTGGGGGGGGCAGGTCGGAGTGGGAGGGGGGTGGGGTGATGTGCATGGGCAAGTAAGGGGGGTTGGAGGCTGGTGCAATGAGGCGCCAGGAACAGGATGGGGGGGGGATGAGGAGGGGGGGGGGGGGGGGAGGAGGAGGGGGAGGAGGGGTAGGAGGAAGGGGGGGAGGAGGAGGAGGAGGAGGAGGAGGAGGAGATGGAGGAGGAGGAGGAAGGGGGGGGGGATGCGGAGCAGGCGCTTATGGAGACGGGGTGATGGAGGAGAAGGAGGAGGAATAGGATGAGGAGGAGGGCGATCCTCATCATGATCCCCATCATGATCCTGACCCTGCTCCTCCCCCATGGTCCTCATCATGATCCTGAGCCTGCTCCTCGTCCTGATCCTGGTGGCCCCGATCGTCACCCCGATCTTTTCCCCTCCTCATCCTGATCCCCGCCCGCCCCGAAACGCATGCGCCCCTCGCCTCGCCTCCCCCGTCGGGAAGAGGCTGATAGCTGCGAGGGCCCCCCGCGTAAGAATGTGCTGGATGCCGTGAGGGATCCGACGGAACAGATGTCCAAACACCCCTTCGTCAAGTCAATGATGGCCCTCCGCGTCGACACCAGCCGCAAAAAGACGCGCGAGAAACGCGGGCGCGAGGATGCGGCGCACAAGGAACAGAAGCACGAGAAGGAGAGAACAGCAGAGCCACCGCCCGAAACTGTTGAATCAAGTGCGAAGCCAGCTGTTCCGATAAAATGCGTCCAGAAGCGTCCAGCGGCAGCGCCGACGCAGACCGGTGAGGCGACTGGGCAGACCCATGCATGAGCCCGACCCCGTCTTCTCCTTCTCCGCCCCTCGTCGTCGGTTCCTCTTGTTACTCTTGCTCGTCAACGGGCTGCTCGCGAACGGTTCTCGATCCCGTCGGCCCGTCGACGGGCTGCTCGCGAGCGGTTCTCGACCCCGTCGGCCGCCCCGCGTGACGGTGGAAGCTGCGCCCGAGGATCGCAGGGGCGATGGGGGAGGCAGCCGGGGCGCCGGAAGATGCCGACTTGGAGGCGGCCGTAGAGGACCCACCCGAAGGCGAGCAAGACGCCGAGGAGGAGGGGGAGGAGGGTTCGGAGGAATAATTGGTGGTGGAGGTGGCAGATGTCGCGGCCCCGATCGAGGTTGGCTGAAGACGAGGGGCCCACGAGTGAGACGACGATCGAAGACAGCGCGGGCACTACATACAAGCTGAAGCTCAAGAGGCGCATCGTTGAGTGCATGTCCACCATGCAGTGCAAGAGCCTAGATGTGAAGGCGTCTAAGTGGACGCAGGTTGTCCAGATGGCCGACAAGTGCTGGGGGGCGCCGACTACGCCGCCGAAGAGGTGAAGGCGTGGAGCGGGCAGCTGATGCAGGTGTCACGGCATTCACACACGCGTACCTGTTTCAAGTCAATTCGCGAGCTTGAGCTTGAACCCAGCTGAAGGGCTAAACATATCACGAGCTCGCACTTCTAATATCAAGGTTGAGCTCATGAGACATTGAGCCGTTCTAACTTACGGATGCGAAGGTTCGTCTCGGTGGGCGTTTCTCGTTCGCGGTGCGCCTCGGGAATGCAATCTTGCATTCCCGAGGCGCGCCGCGAAGGTTCGCGTTTCTGCAGGGGGCGCGCGTTGCGGCGCCCCCCGTCGGTTCCCTCGCGGGGCCTTTGGGGCGTCATGGCAGCTCCCCGTCCGCGTGTCCGGTCCTATCGGGCCGCCCCCGCTTCTCTGGCCGCCGGTTGGTGTTCGGCGACCTCGCGCAGGAGGGGGCGGTCTGCAAGACGAGGGCCCTCCAGCTGAAGGCGGAGCGCATCCAGCAGATGGCATGGAGGGCCCATCGGCCGCGAGAGAGCTAGATTTGAGCAGCGACGGGCGTGGGGCGGAGAGGAGGAAGCGAGATGAACTGCCAAATGCGTGCTGCCTCGACCCCTCGTTCCACCGCTCTCTGATCAGAATCCTAACTGCTACTAGCTCCTCTGGTCTCCCCGATCCCCGTCCTCGCATCATCCCCGCGTGCCGCTTTCTGACGCGCGGTGGGGGCGCCTGGAAAGCTGGGGCACTGCGTGCGCGAGCAGATCGCCGTCGCCATCGCCGTGCTCGAGCTACGTATGGTCGGGTAGGTTTTCGGCGCGCCGGGGGGGGGTTGGGGGCGGGGGAAGGGTGGTTGGGCAGGGGGCGGATGATGGGCCGCGTCGTGCCTTCCAGCGCGGTTACGCTGGGCTGGGGAAGTGGGGGCGGGATAGAGAATGCGCGGCATGGTGCCCGTGCATGTGCGAGCAGCCGTCTACAGGGCGGCCCCGCCTGCTCGAGGCTTGTCGCGATCGAATCATCGGGCGTGCAATGATTCGGATCAGATGCGGTGCAGCAGATTGCCCTCCAGGCAGAAACGCGATGCCGCACTTGTCAGACCGAACTGCTATGTTGCCCGCGGGGCAGGTGGCCAAAAGTGCGAGGGCGGGGTTGTTGTGAGTTGCTCGCGGGACTGTGGGTTGCCCGTGGGGCTGCGGGGTGCGTGCGAATATTGCCCGTGTGACAATGACGTGCTCGCGGTGCGGTGAAATGCGCGTGGGGCGGTGGGTCGCGAGTTGCTTGTGATCGCGGGGCGGTGGCTTGTTTGTGTCCCGCGCCCAACCTTGTCACGTCCCGAGCTCCGCCTCGTTCTGCATGTGTCCGTTGTTGGCCAGGCGCTTTTCGTCTCCGATCGCCTGGCCCCGCTGGGTCGACGCATCTTGCGTTCAGCTGGGCGGCGGGGGGTGCTAAGTTGCATGCAGGGGTTGCTCCAAGTGGCGATGGATCGCGCCCCAAGTTCACGTGATGATATAAGAGCCAATGCCTACAGGAATGCTGTATGCAGCACGTCCACGATGCAGCCGAGATCGATGTTGTAACGTGTACCCTGGGCTGGTGCAAACGGGCGTCCAATTGTGTGCCACTGCGCGTGTGTGTGTGTGTGTGTGTGTGTGTGTGTGTGTGTGTGTGTGTGTGTGTGTGTGTGTGTGTGTGTGTGTGTGTGTTCGCGCGGCCATGTACATCTGTATGCATGTATACGTATAGAGATATGTACATATGCTCGTGGGTATGGGCTATACCGCATGCACGTGTATGCATGCGTACAAATACATACATGCGTGCATACAGACATGCATTCATACAACAATACATAAACACATAGAGGCATACTGACTGACTGACAGACAGGCCGTCAGACAGACAGACAGACAGGCAGACAGGAATACTGGCAGCCATACGCACATACAGATACGCGCACACACGCATACATGCATTCACATATCCATGCATCGCATATTTACACACTTACATGCATGCATACATGCTTACAGCCGTTCATGCGCATATACGTACACGCATGCACGTTGTATACGATCATGCAAACACATTTGCCGTCATACCTGCATGTATACATGCACGCGCGCCCATCACACGCATGCAGATGAATAGGTATATGTATATGTATAATACGCGTACATGTGTTTATGTATTCACGTACACATGCACGTACACGTCTATATGTATACGCGTGTGCAAGCATATTCCAGTATGTATAAAAAAAACGACCGGTCTCCCAAACGATTATGTGTACGCATGGGTGCATTGTTATGCTTAGTTGCGTACCTATCAGCGCGTGCACACATATACACATACAAACGATGTACATGGTAGTTTTCACAACTGAGTGCTGAGCAGAGGCTGAGGTCCGACGTGCTCATACTTTGGCTCTTAGTTTTTTTGGGCCCCAGCGCTCCGCGTCCGTGATCTCCGCCCGCCGCGCGCTGGTGCCGGATCTGGGGCGCCACGTCGGCGCGGGCGTCGCCGTCTGGGCTGCGCGTGGCGACCCAGCCGTCCGTCCAGTGTGCACCTGCGAGCCCGCCCTGCAGCGCCCCGTCCTGAGCTGTGACTGCTCGGGGCCGCGGGCTGACGCCGAGGCGGGCCCCTCCACCGCCGGGCTGGTGACCTGCGTGGTGGGTGCGGCCCTCGCTGGCGCCCTCGTCGGCGATGCGGGCGGCTGGGAGGTCCTTGCCTCCGCGGCCATCGCGCGGGCTCGTCTGCCGTCCAGCTGGAGCCAGACCAGTGGAGCGAGGTGGCCCGCGTGCAGGTGAGGGCGCTTCGTGAGCGTGCCTTCGCATTGCAGTGATGGCGGCGCCTGGTTCTCTGGCGCATCTCTCGCTCGCGGCGGCGTGCGTGGCGGTCGGGTACCTTGTCGGGGTGCAGTGCAGCGTCGTGCGGAGGACTCTCATCCACGAGCACATCGTCGTGGCCTTGAACCCCGCCGCCCCCGGCGCCGCCTCGATCATCGCGGTGGATGGCGGCGAGTTCGACGAGCAGCTCCGCGGCGCGGCGGACGTGCGCCACTGGGACGTGCTGCCAGGTGGATCACCAGGCGGGGCTTTTCTCATGGGCGCTGGCGGCGTGGTACTACCGATTCAGGGCCATCCCCACGGCGGCCGCGCGGGCGTCTGCAGCTGGCCGTGCCTGTTCTCGCCGGTGGCTGGCGGCGGCTGCGGGGCCCGTGGTGCCCGGCGTTGCGGGCAGGGTGGCCACGGCGGCCGCGCCCGCGGCGACGGCGGCGGCTGCCCCGGCCGCGCTGCCTGGCGTTGCCCCTGGCCCTGTGGCGGGCGGCCGCGGCGCCCCAGGGGCCGCGCTCGGGGGTCAGGCCGGCGGTGCCGCTGGAGGCGCGCCCGCGTCGGCGCCAGCCGCTGCCGCGACGGCGGCCGCCAGCGCCCCTGCCGCCCCCGGGGCTGAGGGGGCTCTCGTGGCACCTGCAGGCCCCGCCGCGCTCCCCGCGGCGCTGGCCGCGCCGGGGGCTGCCGCGGCCCCCGCCGCTGGCCCCCTCGCTGAGGGGCCCGCGCCCGCGGGCTTGAGGGCGGGGCCGCCGCCCGCCAGCCCCGGCGGCGACGCCCACATGTTCGATATCGTGAGGGATGCACGAGGTGTCTTGCGCGCGGATTTCCGCGGCATGGTGGTGCTGATGGTCGGGGTCCCAGGGCCTGAGCGGTCAGTGCGCGGGCCTCGCGCGCTGCTGAGGGTGATGCAGCATATGGCGCAGTGGTCGGTGACTCCGACGGCTCATCACCAGCTGTGGCTGGCAAAGATGGGGCTTCGCCCAGAGTCCCACGTCGTGGAGATCTACCAGATCGGGTGCATGGTCATTGAGTCGGCCGTCGCCTACGACCCAGTGCACGTCGCGAACTTGGGGCACTTGGAGCTCGCGGCTCGTTCGGCGCAGGCGCAGGAGGAGCTGCGGCGGGAGATGGCAGCGGCGAAGGGGCGGAGGAAGGCGCGCGTGGATCACGCCCTCGCCGGTGGCGTGCCAGGCCAGCCGGGTGCAGGGCGCTGGAGGGGGCGACGGGGCGGCCGCGGCGGCCGGGGCGCCTCGCCCATCGCCGCCCGGGCCAATGCCTGACCTGCCCCGGGGCGGATGGCCCGGCCGGCCGCCGCCCCTGCCCCGCTCGGCCATCGCGGGTCCTGTCACCAGTGCGACCCGTTCCCCTGGCGACGCTGGGCCCCGTCCGCCGGACGAGGACCGACATCGAGATCTCTCCCCCCTGCCTCTGCTGGCTGCTGCGGACGTGGCGCCTGGGTCGTCGGGGACTCGGCGGCGAACTCGAGCCTGTCACGCCTTCGCGCGCGCGCTCGGTCGTGCCGGCGCCGCCGTGCACGCCTTGAATTACCTCTACGGCGACCAGTCCTCGCCCGCGCCGACGCCGTTTGCCGGGCAGCGCTGTGCCGCCGCTCGCATCTGGGACTCCATCGTCGCCCTCGGCCCTGAGCCGGAGGCGTGCCGTGACGACGTCTCAGACCCCAACGGGGCCCTCCGGGAGCTCCTTGCTGGGTCCGCGCTGTGCCCTGACGGCGGCGGGCCTACTACTCCCTACGTGCCAGACCTTGTCTCCTGGCCAGACGTGTCGCAGCCCCCCGCGCCGCTCCTTGGGCTGCTGGGAGAGCGAGACTCCGCCGCGCTGCGGGAGTGGAGGTGCCAAATGCTTCGTGGGCATGGGGAGGCGCGGCAGCTTTGGGCGGTGGCCTGCCCGCAGGGCCCGTGCACGGATCCTGCTCTGCTCCGCTCGCCGCTGGACTACGCAGCTTTCCTCGGAGCAATGGTGGGGCGCAGCGTGCTCACTTTTTCCCCTTCGCGAGGGCGTCGGGGCAGCGTGGGGATATTTTTCGCGCCAAAGAAGAGTGGTCAGCTCAGAGTCATCTTCGACGCGCGCCTGGCCAACTGCGCGTTCATCGACGCGCCTCGCACCCAGCTGCCGTCGGCGTCAGCCTGGGGGCGGCTCGAGGCGGGCGACGTTCGGTTCTCCATCGCTTCGGCGGACCTCGACGTGGCCTTCTACCGCATGCGGGTCCCTGACGGCATGGAGGAGTATTTCGCGTTGCCGCCAATCTCCGCCAAGCATCTCGCTCCTCACGGAATTGCAGTGGCGGGGGTGAGCGGTGAGTCGCTCTTGCTGCCTCAGGTGGTGGTGCTGCCGATGGGGTTCAGCTCCTACGGCCAGCCCGGCTGCCAGCCCCACGGCCAGCCTGACGGCCAGCCCCGCGGCCAGTCCCACGGCCAGTCCCGCGGCCACCCCCGCGACCAGCCACGCGGCCAGTCCCAACGGCCAGCCTGACCTCCAGCCTCGCGGCCGGCCCCACGGTCAGCCGGACGGCCAGCCCGACCGACGGCCCTGCGGCCCTCCACTGCCAGCCCGACCGACGGCCCCACGGCCAGCCCGACTGTCAGTCCCACGACCAGCCCCGCGGCCAGCCCTACGGCCAGTCCCACGGCTGGCCCCGCGGCCAGCCCGACGGCCTGCCCCGCGGCCAGGGGGAAGACAGAGAGGACCTTGCCGACCGTCCAACACAACCCATTGGCGACACGACCCCTGGGGGCACCCAGCCGCGTCGGATTTCAACAGAGTCTGCGACGGTCAGTCGCCCCCACTGGGAAGAGTGTGAAGATAGTCGCGAGTCGCAGGAGGAGGCGGGGCCTACCGCTGGGGAGGAGACCGTCGAGGAGACCGTCGAGGGAGCGGCGGAGGAGTCCCTGGAGGAGAAGTGTGAGGACGTGGAGAGCGAGAGCATCCCGGGGGACGACCTGGGCATAACGGTGGAAAGCGACAACGGGACCTGGGAGGACGAGGCCGCAGTCCAGCGAATGGTGGACAGAGGGCGATTCGTTGCTCTCCGTCCCTCCCCCCCGCGTCCACCAGGGACCCCCGTTCCCGAGCATGCGACCAGCGCGCTGCAGGCCCCGCCCGCTGCAAACATGGATGCGCCGCCTCGGCGGGCGGGCTCTGCCCGCGAGATCACCCCTGCACCGGCGTCGCCTTCGACGGACCGTGCGGGGCCGCGGGGCGACGGGGGTCCCCGGCCGTCGCCCGCCGCTGACTCCTCCAGCCGATGGCGACCCAGTGTCCGAACTGCGCTGGCCCTGCCGCCCCCGTGCGTGCTGCCTGCCCGCGGAGACGGGGTGGGCCTGAGCGCATCGCTCGCTGTGCCCTCGCTTCCCGATGCGAACGGGTCTCTTGCGAGCGCAGACTTGGGCGCGGGCCAAGCAGCGGAGCAGTCGCCTGGCGAGTCTACCTCGGGGGCCGGGGTGCTCGTGGACGACCCGCCGGCCCTCGTGGAGCGGGTCAAGGCGTGGCAGTGGACGGGGGGGCCCACCAGTGGCGCGACTTCTGTCGCGCCAACAAGGCGATGGGGGCCCTGGCGCCTGCGATCCCGCGCGCCACGAGCCTGGCGTCCTCCGCCGCTTCCCAGCGCTCATGGGGAAACGCCCAGACTGCCGCGACTATTTCGAACTGGCCCTCATCACGATGAGCCGCCGTTTTCTAATCGAGCGCGTTCGGGGCGTCATTCGCTCGTCCCCGGATAGCCTTGCACAGTGGGAGATGCGCGCTATCGACTACGAGAAACCTGGCAGAGGCAGAGCCCAGCCCTACATTGCACCCGTGCACGTCATCGTCGCTTTCATGCGTGCTCGCGCCGGGCACGAGAGGACGTCGGTCTACGTTCCCGTGGGCGCGGCAGCGCCTTGGGGCTCCCACCTACGCTGACCCGCTCCACTTTAGGTCTGGAGTGCCCACCGCGGCCCTGGGAGCCAGCCTGGCGTGCTGCCACCCCCCGCGCCGGGAGGTCCACCATTCTCCATCCCCTTCTCCGCGCCGGGCAAATGTTCCACCGTTCTTCTCCTCGCACCGGGTAAGTGTTCCACGGCCTGGCGTGCTGCCCTCCCCGCGCCGGGTAAATGTTCCGCCATTCTCTCCTCCTGCTTCCTTCTTGTGCCTGTCCCTTCCCCCCCTCCTGCATCCCAGCGCTGCAGCGGTTGGCTGCCGCGCCGGGGCGCATGCCGCGCCTGGCGTGCACTTCCCCGCCCGCGCCGGGAAGAGCGCGAAATGGGTCGCGAGCCGCAGGGGAGGGGGTTGGGAGAAGACAGAGAGGACCTTGCCGACTGTCCAACCCAACCCACTGCAGGAAGAAGTCTGGGAGGACCTTGCACGTGCAACTGGTTATGGGAAGTGGCGCGTGCCATGGGGTCAACAACTTGCCGTGGCTGGCTGCCTCCATCTCTCCTTCTTGTTTTTCTTCCAAGGCTGCGACGGTCAGTCGCTCTACTCCTCCTGCGGCCCCTGCATCGGCTGTCCATGTGCCCTCGTATCGCCGAGCTGTGGCGGTTAGCTGCGTTCCATGTCTGTCCATGCGCCTTCATCTCCCATTGCTGCAGCTGTTAGCTGCGTTCCGCCTCTGCCGTGTTCGCCTGTTTCTCCCGCCGTGCTCCTCGTTCGCCCTGCCCATGGCCTCCGCCCCTCTCTGAGGGCTCGCGGAGTTGTGCAGCACCTCGCTGACAAGCAAGACTGGCTCAAGAACCGCAGAGTCGAGCAGTGCGTCGTCGAGCAGCGCGTCGCTGATCAGCACGACTGAGTCGTGCACTGCGGGACTGAGCGCCACGGAGTCGAGCAGCGCCACGCTGGCCAGTATGACCGAGACCAGTATGACGGGCTCAAGTACCACAGAGTCGAGCAGCACGTCGCTGACAAGCGCGACCGAGACCAGCACGGCAGGCTCAATTACCACAGAGTCGAGCAGCACCTCGCTGACCATTACGACTGGCTCAAGTTCCACATTATTAAGCAGCACCACGCTGTGCAGCACGTCGCTAACCAGCGCGACCGAGTCGAGCACCTCGGGGTCGAACGCCACTGAGTCGAACAGCACCGCGCTGGCCGGCGCGACCGAGACCAGTGCGACCGGCTCAATCACCACAGAGACGTGCAGCACGTCGCTGACAAGCACGACCGAGGCCAGCGCGTCAGGCTCAATCACCGCAGAGTCGAGCAGCAAATCGCTGACCAGTACGACCGGCTCAAGTACCACAGAGTTGAGCAGCACGCCGGTGCGCGGGATGTCGCTGAACAGCACGACAGTCGAGCACCGCGGGATCGAGCGCCACGGAGTTGTGCAGCACCGCGCTAACAGGCACGACCGAGACCAGCACTACTGGATCAAGTATCACAGAGTCGTGCAGCACGTCGCTGACAAGCACGACCGAGTCGTGCATTACAGGATCGTGCACCTCGGATTCGAGCAGCACATCGCTGACCAGCACAACCGTCTCAAGTGCCATAGAGTCGAGCAGTACGTCGTCGCGCAGTGCCTCGCTGACCAGCACCACCGAGTCCAGCACTACGGTTTCGAGCACCACAGAGTCGAGCAGCACCTCGCCGGCAAGCACGACCGAGACCAGTACAACTGGCTCAAGCACCACAGAGTCGTGCAGTACTTCGCTGGCCAGCGCGACCGAGACCAGTCGACTGGCTCCAGAACCACAGAGTCGTGCAGCACCTCGCTGATCAGCACAGCTGGCTCAAGTACCACAGAGTCGAGCAGTGCGTCGTTGACCAACGCGACCGTGCCATTCGAGCACCACAGGATCGAACGGCACCTCCTTGTCCAGCGCGACCGACTCGAGCACCACGGAATCAAGCAGCACGACATGCAGCGCCACGCAGAATCAAGCAGCACCACCCTACGCAGCACTACTGAGTCGAGCACTACGTCGCTGACTACACCGACAGAATCAAGCAGCACATCTCTGACCAGCTCATCGGAATCGAGTATCACCTCACTGACGAGCACGACCGACTCAAGTACCACAAAATCTGGCAGCACCAGTTTGACCAGCACGAGTGAGTCGAGCAGCACAAGCACCAGTCCCGTGTACCACGGAATCGAGCAGCACATCAGTGACGTGCAGCCTTACGCTGAGCATTACTACGCTGAGCAGCACCACGGTGAGCAGCACCATCGAGTCGAGCAGCACTACCTTGTCCAGAATTACGGGCACCAGCAGCACCTCGTCGAGCAGCGCGGTGTGCGACCGACTCTCTTGTCCCTTGTCCCCTTGGCCATCGCCGCAGGCTCCGTTACTGAGTCAGTAGCGCGTCGCCGACGAGCACAACTGAGACCAGCAGCTCGACGATAAGCACCAGTGGGACGAGCAGCACGACGAGGACCTAAAAAACGGAGTCTAGCACTACAGGCTCCAGCAGAAAAGAGTCCAGCATCGCGTCGCTGTCTAGCGCAATTGTGACAAGCAGCACGGCGGCGAGCGCTGGTGAGTTGAGCAGCGCGACGGTGACGAGCACCGCGGGGCCGGGCACCGCAGATCCGAGCAGCACGTCACCGACGTGCACCACCAAGACGAGCTGCACGGCGACGTGCACCACAGAGACCAGCAGCACGACACTGATGAGCACAACAAGCTGTAGCACGACAGAGTCCTGCAGCGAGTCGCTGACCATCACCGCTGAGACATGCAGCTCGGCAACGAGCACTCGGGGGACGAGCAGCACGCGTTTGCCAGCGCAACGGCGTCGTGCAGCACGAGGTCCAACATGGCGCGGTCGTGCAGCACTTCGCCGACGAGCGCTACCGGAACATGCGGCGCGACGACGTGCACCAGGACACCGGCAACATGCCGGTGTCGTGCACACGGAGTCGGGCACCACGGGGTCTAGCATTACAGAGTCGGGCAACGTGTCGCTAGCCAGCACCACCGTGACAAGCAGCACGGCAACGAACACCAGCGAGTCGTGCAGCACAACGCTGTCGAGCACAACTGGGTGCAATGCCACGGGATTCACCCCGCGGAGTCGAGTAGCACGTCGCTGACCAGCACCACCGTGACAAGCAGCATGGCAACGGGGACCAGCGGGACTAGCAGCGCGTCGACGACGCACACCACGGGTGGGAACACCGAGCCGCCTCGGTTCCCAATCGCCTCTGCGACGGTCAGTCGCTTCCACCAGGAAGAGTGCGAAGATAGTCGCGAGTCGCAGGGTGTGGGGCAGGGTGGCGACGGAGAGAACCTTGCTGACCGCCCAGCACAACCTTCTGTTCTACCATTCTCCTCCTGCGACGGTTAGTCGCCTTCGCCTGGAAGTTTGCGAAATGATCCGCCTCCACCGGGAAGAGCGAGAAGATAGTCGCGAAGCGCAGGAGGGGGGGCAGGAAGAAGTCTGGGAGGACCTTGCCGACCGTCCCACGCAACCCACTGGCAACGCGACCTCTTGGCGCACCCAGCCGCCTCGGATTCCAACGGACTCTGCGACGGTCAGTCGCCGCCACCAGGAAGAGTGTGATGATTGTCGCGAGTCACAGGGTGAGGGGCAGGGAGAAGACAGAGAGGACTTTGCCGATCGTCCAACTCAACCCGCTGGCAACGCGACCCCTGGGAACACCCGGCCGCCTCGGATTCCAACGGACTCTGCGGTGGTCGTTCACCTACGCCGGGAAGTTTGCGAAACGGGTCGCGAGCCATTGGGGGAGGGGCAGTGGGAAGACAGGGCTTTGCCGACCGTCCAGCACAACCCATGGCAACGCGACCTCTGGGAACACCCAGCCGCCTCGGTTTCCAATAGCCTCTGCGACGGTCAGTCGCTTCCACCGGGGGGGGTGCGATGATAGTCGCGAGTCGCAGGGTGAGGGGCAGGGAGCAGACAGAGAGAACCTTGCTGACCGTCCAACACAACCCACTGGCAACACGACCCCTGGGAACACCCAGCCGCCTCGGATTCCAAGGGGTTCCGCGATGGTCAGTCACCTACGCCGGGAAGAGTGCGAAATGGGTCGCCCAAGTATTGCGCCGGGACTGGGTGGTGCTGTGCCTATTGGCTGCCTTAGGCCAGCGCCCCCCCCCCTGCTGATGGCCGGAAGGGTTCAGCGGGCTCCGATGCTCGTGTCTCCTGCCTCCTATTGCCGCAGCGGTTGGCTGCCGCAGCGGTTTGCCCACCGTGCCTTGCGTGCACTTCCCCTCCCCTCCCTCGTTTCACCGGGTTTCTCCCGCGCGGCCAGGGTTGCCGCCAATGCCGCTGTCTGATGGTGCTCTGACAGTTTGAATTCCATGCATGTTTACACTGGGAACGGGAGGTCAGGTGGCCCCTGACCTGCTCCTGGCTGGTGTCGGCCTCCTCTGGTGACCGGGAGGGTTCCGCGAGGTCTCGCTTCGAATTCCATGCGAGGACCACGCTGGGGATGGGCGGTCAGCTGGCCCCTGGCCTGCTCCTGCTTGGTGTCAGCCTCCGCTGGTGACCGCTTGGGTTCCGTGGGGTCTCGCTACGCTGCCGTCCTCTTCGGTGCAGGGACTTTGGCATGTGTGGCTCTGGGCGCCCGTCGGCTGCTTTCTCCTATATGGACTTCGCTTTCGACCTGTGCCGCCGGGTGTACATACAAGAGGATCTGCCGTTTGCAGTCCTGTGTGTGACGAGGCTGCCCCCTGTTCACTCCGGCGCTGACACGATGCTGTTGTGTCACCTACGGCGCGGATGCCGTCCTGGAGTGCCTGTCGGACCTGCTCGCTTTTGTCGGGCCTTATGCCGATTCCCACCGGGTGATCGACCTCTGCGTGTTCATGGTCGCGCCGCCGCGCCATTTTGGCTGCGCCTACTTGATGGTCGCCACCGGGATTTCCACGCCACCGGGTTGGGAGTGCCGTTCCTGGTCCTCCTTCTGAGTGGCTGCCCGCGCGCTCGCTTCACTTGCCCCTCTCTTTTCTTGCTGCCTAGTGGCGGCCCGGCTAGTGTTCGGACGGTTTTCGACTTGCTTCGCGAGCCCGCAAACCAAAAAGTACCCCACCAGCCCATCCAGAAACGATGCCCAGAGGAATTGCCTCGATCACGCAAACGAAGGGTCCCCCAGTGGAGGCCTCTTGGAACGTGTGGGTGCCTCGGAGAGCTTCTTGAAGCGCTCTTGGGAGCCTTGGGAGCGCTCTTGGGGCCATCTTGGGGGACATCGATCAAACAAGAAGCGAACGTTAGTTAGCGTTGCCCTTCGGGAGCCCAAGCAATCGCCTCTTGGGGCGCTCTTGGGGCGCTCTTGGGGCGCTCTTAGGCGCTCTTGGGGCCGTCTTGGGGCTCTCTGGAGCCTCTCTTGGAACCCTCTTGGGCCATCTTGGAGCCATCTTGAAGCCTCGGATGGCCATGTGAAGCGAAAAGGCGGGAAAGCCAAACACAGAATTTCCGAAGGCTTTTCGCCTCTTCGGGGCCTCCTGGGGGAGCTCTTTGGCCACTTGGGGCCGTCTTGGAGCGGTCTTGGGGCATCTTGGAGCATCGTGGGAGCTATTATGAGACATCTGGGGATACCTGGAGTCATGTTGGAGGTTGGGCTCTCCCAGGAGCTCTTGGAGGCATCATAATCAGTGCCCTCCAAGAGGCCAACACGTGGCTAAAACTTGAGTAACATCAATGATTTGGCATTCTCGCCGAGGCCTCTTGGAGCATCTTGGGTGCCTCTGGGGGGTCTGTTGGGACCTCTTGGGGGTCTTTTGGGAGCCTCTTGGGGGCATTCTGGGGGCCTCTTGGGGCTTCCTGGCCACCTCTTGGGGCCCTCTTGGGGCACCTTTGGGAGCCTTGGGGGCCATCTTTGGGCCATCTTGGGTGAGATCGATCACAGGAGGGGGGGATACTAATTACAGTCCCCCCCTTTCAGGAGGCCAAAATGGGGCCAAAACTATAGTAACACCAATGATTTTAGCTTCCTCGCCGAGACCGTTTTGGACGCTCCGACACCTCGCGACACCCCCTGTCCAGGTCCAGGGGAGGGGGTATGGGGGAGGGGTAAACCCTTCCCCGAAAGGGAAAAGGGAGGGGTGGAAGAGGAAACTCCCTAAACCACCGACGCCCAGAGGGCTGGTGGAATTAACCTCACAAGCGCCGCACCCCCCAATGCTGATGTGCGAACAGATGGCGCGGCGCTGGGCCGCTGCGTCTCAGCACTGGAGGGCCGCGACTTCTCCGAGAGGGGTCCAGCCGCGCCAATTTTACGTTTGTCACAGCTTCGGACTTCCCGAGGGGGGTCCAGCCGCGCCAGGTTCACGTTCGTCACAGCTTCGGCATCTGTGAAATTAATTCTGGCGGGGGTTGTAGGAGAGCCTCAGGGAGGCGCCATGACCGCCCAGGGCTCCCCCGGGAGTAGGAGTGGTGCAGTCGTCTGTCTGTCTGCTGAGACCTTCCAGGCAGCCCTTGGCATACGTCCGCGCCTCAACGTGCTGCAGGCACGGTGGCGGATTTGCAGAAACTTGCGAGGAGGGGACTTCGGACGGGAGGGAGTCTTGTAGCATCGTTGACGCATTCTGGGTTTATTCTGGTCCTCCTCCTGCTCCTCTTGCTCCTCTTCATCCTCCCACACAACCTCCTCCCTCTTCAGCATCCCGTCCCCGTCCTCCTCCTCTCTCCTCTCCTTCCCCTTCCTCCCTATGAGCGTGCAAGGTCTGAAATGTTCACGATATCAACGGCGACACTTCTTCCGAAGAGCTCCCCTCCCCATATGGCGATGGATTGCTGCCGAATCGGTTAAACTCGGAGGTTTCCCCTCGGCAGCACTGCTCGCACGCGTGAGCTGATCACAGGTCGCCATATTGACGCCAGTCATCGCCATCCTCCTCTTCCTCCCCATCCCTGCTGCTGCTGCTGCTGCTGCTCCTTCTCTTCCTCCTTCCAGCAGGCGAGCCCGCTGCGCAGCCTGGCCTTGCCTTCGGGCTCCCCCGCGCGCGAGGAGGAGGCGCCGTGTTTCCTCGGGCTGCCG